TCAAACGGTAAAAACAATAAAAATATAAGAGTAGATTCCACAACTACTCCATATAAGAGTAGATTCCACAACTTTTGAAACTTCCCCGCCACCCTCCTGCCTGGCTACGAGACCACCAGGCTGATTTCACTGCCAAATTCCCAAATCTATGGGTCAAGGATCAGTTGACCCACATCTCACCACTTTACCAGGGCAAACTGTTTGTGGTGCCCTCCAGGACAACTCTGCTCAGAGCGACTCGTCGCAAGGGAAAAACATTCTGGGGAGGGGTAATTCAGAGAGGCCCCCTCTTTTCTCTGCTCAGCGTTCTCCCCACGGCAGCTCTGTCACCCCCCGCGTGAATCGCCCTCTACTGCCCCGCTGGTCCTGGGGCTTTGGGGCGCCCACTCTCCTCCTAGCGCAGGCTCACCGAAAGGAGATGGCGTAGGAGTTGGCCTCGCTCCGCTTGCGCACGAGGAAGGCGCCATCCCGGGGCACCCGCATCAGCATGTGCTCAGCCTGCAGCCGCGTCAGGTTAGCGTGGTACCATCTGGGGAGGAGAGAAGGAGACTCCAGTTAAGACCCCCCATGCCAAGACCAAAGGGTGAAAACTGTCTTGCTGATCTGCTGGGAGGGGCCTTCCGCTGACCAGCCTTTTCGGGGCTTCAAGCTCTGCTTGCTTTTATTCAAAAATTAAAAGAGCTCTCCAGACTCAAGCAGCGTTTTAGCAAGGGAGGAATGCTTGGCTCAAGAAGAACCAAACTTGCCCACCGTTGTCCAGTCCTTCCTTTGGATGGATTAAATTTAGAATGCATTCTGTGCATGCTGAGAAGCTCCGACATCCTCTAGGACTGACCGCTGGTGCTCAGAAAGCGTTTGAAAGCTAAGAGGTGTTGAGGCTTGGGTTCAAGTCCACATTATTCAGGATTCCCCAGGCTGGGGCCCCCAGGGCTGCTCTTTCCCAGCGGGCCCCAGGGAGGGGGGGTGACCACGTGCCCCACCCCACCCCACTCCAGGGTCAGGGTGACCACGTGCATCGGCAGGGAAGGAAAGGGGGACCCGGTTGCTCACTCCTTGCTCTCGTGGGCGTTGGGCTGCGGCACGGGGTCCGTGAGGCGCATCTCGAACTCGTTGCAGCGCAGCGGCACCTCACGGTAGTGGCAGATGAGGCTGTACAGGCTGTCAAAAACCAGGTTGTCGGTCAGGTAGAACTTGGTAGCACCGGCTTCCTGCCGGGAATGGATGCGACAATGCTGGACCCGTCCGGAACGCCTGTAGAACGAGGCGGAGAAGATGAACAGACTGAATTTTAATTTTTCACACGTTCACTTCCAGTTTCCATTTGCTTTTCGTGTTTTTAGGACAGGAAATTATTTCCTAAGTTCCTAAGGCGACCAAAGGTCAGGGAGGTAAAACGCAGGCTTGAATTTTCCCACATCCCTTGGGGAGTGAGGGCCCCCCTGGCAGCGTGGTGCCCACCTGCATTTCCTGCCCCAGCCCTTTGGGCCGCTCTGATGTCATAGAAATCCTGCCCAAACCATCATTTATATAATTTGTGCCAACCGTGTCATGCTGCTTACAAAAATTACGTAATTTCTGTTATTTGCACATGAGGCCATTGGCCTCCCTTGCCCCTGCTGATGCCAATGCAAGGCGGTCCCCAGGTTCAGCTCAAAGCCTGCAAACTTGAGGCCAAGTTACTTTTGACATGTTTGTTTAGCTATTTTGTTCAGGCGGGAAAGACGCCAGACAATTCCAGCTTGTCTGTGCATCAGATGAGCTCTGCATGCCTCCACCAGCCAGGATTTCTGATCATGTTCTTCTCTTTCCTTGCGGTGGGCTAACTGCACTTTCTAAGGATCTCAGGCCTGAGACATGGTAAAATGTGTCTAGGCCCAAGAATTGTTTGCAATGCTGACAAATAAACAGCGGAAAATCTTTTAGGCATTGCCAGGAACCCACTCTGGAAAAGCAGGAAGGCACAGACACCTCATTTATCTCAGAAAAAGCCCTCCGGATGGCAATCGTACTTCCCTCCCCGCACAAGGGTGGGCACTCTCTGCTTTCCCAACGGTGAATCGCTTGCCCCAAAGCAGGGCTTAGCATCAGCCTTCAGTAGAAGCAAATATGCCCCTCATTTCAAATGTCTGTTCAGCCCATACAGATAGAGCAAAGCAGAGCTCATGTCTGGTCTTGAGAGCAGGGTGGGGACCACAGGCGTACCCCAAGTTCCCATTCTGCAGCTCTCGGTAGTTCTTCGGATCACGGTGGCTGGAAGCCCAGGGTGGTTTCCCACCATTTTGAGATGGAAACAGACAAAACCTACAATGTGAGCCCTAAGAGCGGCTCCCTATCATTCAAAAACAAAGCAGACCCCCCAGCTCTACCCCAAACCTTAACCCCACCTAGTCATGTGACACCCCACCCACTTTGTACCTATGAGCCCCCTCCAGGGTTAACCCAGGCCAGCAAACGCTTGGCAACCCCATTCTTAACGGTAAAAGATGTCAGGGTGGCAGGGTGTCCTACCAGAAAGAGAGGGTGTAATCGCCCACAAAAGTCTCGCTCTCCCGCACAAGGAAAGTGCCATCTTTGCCACCGGTCTCAGTGCAGTATTCGTGCAGCAGCCGCTCGGCAATCTGGCGCCCGTCACGGCCCCCACCCAGCTTGCCATGGAACCACTTCTCACTAAAGTGCAGTTCGTTGTTGTTAAACTCCTGCGAGCCCCACCGGAGGAGGGGGCAAGACAGACCGAGAGAGGGGAGGGCATGGGGACACATAGGATTAAAATTGGGAGGGGGGAAGACAAGAGAGAGAAAACAGTAGCAGTAAATGAGGCACAGCCTGTTCCAAATATCTGTTTAGACTACTTTGGCACATCTTGAAAAAAGCAGGGTGCGTAGCAGCCAAGTTCCGGGGTCTTGTTGCTCCATACAGCTTCTTCTTTGGAAAGGGACCTCGAGGATTCCTTAGACCAACTCTAACAGTCTTACTTTAAAAGTTTTGACTGTTTTAACTGCAGATTAATAGATGAGCATTTTGGTTTAAGGATGAAAGGCAATATACTTTTTAAAGCAATCTCATGAATAGCACAGTGGCTATGGGACCAAACAGGGAAGCACAGGGTTCCTGACCAGTATCTTACTTTTGCCACAAATTTGCTTGTTGGCCTTCAGAAAAATGGTGTCCGACTCCCCCTGCCCTCTGCAATATGAAAACATAGGCTGGCCTGCCTGATAAAGTTGTAAGCTGGTCCCACTGACCGAGAACGCAGCATGCAAAACTTTAAATATCTAACATTGGGCATATCTAATAACATAGTAATGCTGTGTAACTACTGAGCACCAAGATGAGAAGCTTGCAAATCCAAAACAACCACCATTATGTTGCTGGGCATAATGAATGCCGAACTTTGCAGGATGAGCAAGAAGGGAGCTTTCAAGTTTTTCCAGCCCTTAGGGGGACGGGGGGTGGGGAGGGAGGGTGTTGAGAAGGTTAGCCCTGATCCCTTCACCTCCTAATGATAATGAATATTTATCATTCCACAAGTGAGACCAGCAAAAACTCAACTTCCCCAGCCACCCCTAAGTGATTCCTTCACAATTCCAGCAGAGTCACTAGTCCTCTTGAGACAAAGCTCTCCCTCCAATGACAACTCCATCAGCAGGATACCTCCTTCTGTTCCGCCTCCTCCTCTTCTTCATTGGACTGGTAGTGGGAGGTCTCTTCGGAGTAATAGATCTTGTTGCTTGTCAGAACAAAATAGTGGGGGCTCCAGGTCTGTTACACAGAAGGGGGGATGTTGTTAAAGCAAAAGAAAGTAGAAGGGTTAGGGTTAGGGTTTCTGAATGCAAGGCCAAGTAGTGGTCAGATGCAAACCCCAAGAAAGCAGAATCCTAGCATTTCACCCCAAAACAACACTGCATGGTGCTGATAGCTGTAATCAAGTAGGCTGGCAGGGGGGGGGAAGAACCTCCCCCATTTGTCCTCTTCAGTGGTGCCCAGTGGTTGGGCGAGACCCCAAGTGTCAGGCCTCCCCTAGACACACAGTGATAGTATCAACAGCCTGGCAGCAACACGGAAAAGATAACAAAAGCTTTGGGATACCACCTGCTCAGTAAAAATAAGTGGGGGTCGGCAGGCAAAAATCTTCCCTGGGGTCCCACACACCTGTGAGTGTTCCTGCTTCTGCCCCCTAATTCCCAGTGCCCAGGGGGTGTTTGGGCTGCCCCAGCTTTCTTTCTCTGGCCACCATCTGCTTGGAAGCCCTCCCTTGTCCAGAGTCTTGAGCATTAGCTGGGCAAGGTGGCACAACAGCTTGGCATGGTGGAAGCTGACCATTTAAGACCCTGTGTCTTACAAATATCTGGGCATCCAGTTTCCCAGCTTAGTCCCACAAGTCTGATTGTATCCTTTTCCAGCAGACTTTGGACTCAGCATCTGGTCCATGGGAAGGTGGGAATTTGTGACTCTGAAGGGCGACGACCAGGGAGTCTCCCCTCCAGAGCTGGTAAAATGGAAGAGCGTTGGCTCCTTGCTCTCACTCCATTCCACCAACTGTGGGGAAGCCTTCCCTGATGTGGTGCCCCCCCATGTTCTGGCTGCCAAAGTTCCAATACATCTGGAGAGTGCCTGGTTGGGGACGGCTGGTGTGAGCAAGCCAGGGTGGCAGAGACCATTCCGGGGCTCTTCTGAAGAAAACTGGCAGCCTCAGTCATCACAACCTGGCCCACCCCTAGGAACTCACATGGTCAATTGGATCTTCAAGGTACAGGATGCCATTCTTAATCGAATTGCTGATGTCGTTCTCAGAGTAGCTGGCCGTGGAGACTTCTTCATAGAGGTTTCCTTCCACCAGCTTCTTGTGCTGTGACCAGAAGAGAAAATGGAAGAGGATTTGAAGGGATGCAGTAGTGACTGGGATACACCACTCATGTCCGAGGGTTCCTGATGGACAGTTTTCTCTCTAAAGCAGCTCTTCTAAACACAGAGGATGAAGGAGAGGGAAAGATGATGGAGGAACTAAGAAGATGGCATTTTTGGCCAAGGAACCCAGCTCTGCCCAGGAGAGCTCACCTGACAACATGCTCTCTTTTGGATGCAAATGAAACCCTCTTTATTCTTTTAGACCTTTCCTGAGGACCTACCCTTCTTCTATTTTTGTATTTCGTGAACTATTTTAGATCTATATTTCTTTATATGGGGTGCATTTTTAAAACACTGTTTCCCCCTGGCAATTATGGCAAAGAGCCTATAAAAATATTGCCAGGCTTTAATTGCTAGATAATTTTAGCACTTTTTACACTTTTCATCTGTGTTTTTTACTTTCTATATTCTATTCTTCGTTTTTAAATTCTGTTAGCCACCTTGACGGTTGGCCAGAGGAAGGTGAGACACTGATGCAATTAGAGGTTTACAATTTAATACACGTGGATAAGTGTGCCTTAAGAGGCCCATGGACTACACAACACCAGCCTTCCTTTAAAACAGGGGTTCCCGATCTAGGGTGCCCGCACCCTCAGGGGGCACGAGATGGAATTTCGGGGGTGCGACAATTTTATGCACGGAGTTAAAAACTATTTTTTTTTAAGTTTAGTTTCTTCATCCGCATTAGAAACTAGACTTCTTTATCTTCAAATGTGATATTACTTTTGCAAGGGGTGCAAACATTAATCAAACATTTCCTAGGGGTGTGGAACATAGAAAAGATTGGGAACCACTGCTTTAAAAACAGCTGTGGTTCAGACGCAGAACCCTTGGCTGTATATAAAGGGACTCAGACTCCCTGGTCAAACAGGGCTGAAAATCTGAAATTGCTGCTGCCTTGTATCCTCCCGACACCCAAAGGGAACCTAATGTGTGTTTTACACACTGGATGTCGCCATGCCCACCCCCTCTTCACCCTCACCCCTGCCTTAGCATCTTTCTCTGCTAACTGCAAGGATTCTCATCCAGACAAGAGAAACCGAGCTCATCCCCACTCACCTTCTAAGAGCCCCCCTCCCCAACTCAGGCAAGGTGCAATCTCTTCAACCAGTTTCCTCCACGCCTGGACCCCTCCTTGCAAGAGCTGGCTGGGAATCTTGGGAGCTAACCCTACATGACTGAAACTACGGTGGAGTAATGCTTTTTAAAGCTGACTTCCTTCTCATTGCTAAAGCCTTGCTCAGAGATGGAAAGGTAGCAAATAATAACAACAGGAACAATGTCAAAATCTGTGGGACCAGCCTGGTATGAACCAGAAGCAATAGGTGCATATGATGATAAATGCTGGCTTGCCCTTGTAGCTATGATAGCTAAAAGCTGTATCATTATATTATCTAGGTCAGTGTTTTTCAACCTTGGCAGCTTGAAGCTGTGTGGACTTTAACTCCCAGAATTGAGAAACACTGATCTAGATTATCCCTCTATTTGCTCATAGCTGTGCACGGGAGACCCAGGGAAGTGGAACTGAAGTCACGTTGCTTCGGGGTACGTAAAGGGGGCAGAGAGGCCGGGAAGGTCCAGGAGTTTTCCAAGGCGGGAGACAGAGTGCTTGGCTACCTTGATAAGGATCTTTTTCTTGAGTTGGGCAGGAGAGGGAAGCTGGTCAGCATTGACGTCAACCGGTTTGGTCAGCAGCATGTCACCAAACACTTTCTTGAAGTGGGACGCCATGTTCCTCTGCTGGACGATGCTGCAGTGATCTTCGATGGACAGAATGATGGGATACCTAAGGGAAAAGGAAGGGGCATCAGGCAGGCCCCTAAAGCCCTGTGCCTTGCTTATCTGCAGTACCTCTAGGGCAATCTCCGAGGACGCCGCATTTTGCAGAGCAAAGCGGACCATGGCTAAGCAGTTTGGAATGTGATGGTCTGATGCAATCCCTTCCTAAGAACAGGAGGGGTTGTGCAATGCGATGGGAACAAGCGTGAGAGGTTTGGAGCTACCAATTTCACTGGCTTTCCAAGTGGGCTTGGGATCAAGGGACACGGCTTCTGCCTGGCTGCTCCGTTCAGTCAACCACAAACATCCTTTCCAGTTTCTTCGCTGATCCCCCTCCACCCTGAGGAACGATTCGCATGGGGCCCCCAAACCATTTTGTGAGGCTCATTCTCACATGTGCACATTCCACCCTCCAATGCAAAAGACAAACTATAAAAAAGAAGAGGCCCAAGAGGGGGAGGAGGAAGAGGAGCAGGACACAAGGCCTAAACGCAGCAATGTTGCTTACTCAGAGGTGGTGAAGGCGTGCTCCTTGATGGTGTGCAACACATCCAGGAACTTGATTTTGGAGGTAAGCGTGTGGCCGTGGTAGATGATGGGCAGGTCATCCGGGCCATCCCAACAATCCACTGGGGCAGAGAAGATCAAAGATTGAAATTGCTTCTTAAAATTAGAGTCACAAGTTTTAAACAATCACATTAACTGTGCCTTCTCAACTGGGCACCCTCTGGGTGTGTTGAGATTCAAACACCCAGAATTCTCAGGTGGAGAGTGTTGTATGTGTGGTTGTGTGTATTTTTTTCCCCTGGGAATTGCGGTCTTTGCACACTTCTTGAAGGTGCCCAGCTGAGGAAACACAAACTTCTATCCATCCGCAAAATGTACACACATGCAGTTAACTGATTATTCATCTCAACCTCCTGCAATTAAATATAAAAAAGGGTCCTTGCAAAGATACACAAATTGCATTCTCCTTTTGTTACCATCAGAGACACTTTCAACTCTGGCACGATGGCCTTCCTAACAAGGGCCCTCCAGATGTGACGGACTACAGCTTCCAACATCCGCATGACCAGTGACCATGCAGCTTGGGGTGCCAAGAGGGGACGTATGGCACTTGTTTTTCCAAATGTAGAAAACCAGCTACATGGTGAAAAGACCACAGCTGGTTCTCAGAAATATTCTTGCTGCAGATCAGCAAAGACAACAACGTGACCCTTGACCGAGACTTGCTAATCGGACTGAGAATGGTGAGCGTCAACTTACATTCAATGCATCGGCATCCCACCCGAAGGCAGCGGGCGTAGGCTTCTAGAGAGGACTCACTGGAGAACTGATCCCCCGTGAGATACCTGCAAGAGGATGAGAAGAAGCAACCTGCATGACACTTGGGAATGGAGGAGACCTTCCTGCAAAGGCCATTACTGATTATGAAAGGTCGTTAGGAGAATTTGGAAATGCACTGGACAGGGCCCCCAAATCCACAATCTCTCTAAGATAAAATAGATGGGAAGATCTGGACTGAATCTCTTCATCCTTGGACAATCTGTGCTGAACACCTCCCAAGCATCTCCCTGGATCTGGGAATATAACTTCAACACAAAGCTTAACAAAGGACCTGCACGTGCTCTGGCCCCATATCTGTAGTGGGAGAGGAGAGTTTACGAATCCTCGGTGTCATGGCCAGCGTGGCCCTGGTGAAGTGCAATGGATAGTCCTATTTAGCGTGACCCCAGTTGCCCGCTTTCCACCCACGTCCATCCATAATTGGCCCAAGAGTCCGAGGCACTCTTACGTGTTGTGAGAAGACGAGATCCAGTACTGTGACAAGGGGAAATTCATTTCTTCAGGGACGACCTGCTCACATTTGGAATCCATGAGCATGTTTTCTTTGGAGAACAAGAATGTCAGGAACTGTACAAAGATGGGAGAAAGAAAGACTGTTGGGGGACAGGGATGGAGGCATGAGATAGGAAACTTCAAGGGCTGTCAGGGGACAAAGAGGACATTCCAAAGAGGTCCAGACACCCCACCCAACTGCGTGGAACTCTGCAGCAACTGCTTGGAAGGACCAAGAGAATCACCATTTATTTCTGTACAAACCTGAGGCTGCAACATGGCTTTTAAAAGTTACTTTTAACAACATAACGTTGCAAATACCAGAGCTGGTCACCCAAAATGCTTGGACATCCTCGCATGTGTTTGTCTCCGTTAAACATGTGTGCTTATTTCGCGTGAGGTCACAGTAGTTGTGTGGCAGGAAGGGGAGAATGAGAAGTTTACTTTTTCCTGCTAAAGCAGATTTAAAGCAGCTAAGAAAATGGTTCAAATAATTCAGAACAAGATTTGAACAAGGTATGCCTTTAGAACACAGACTACAAAACTCTCAGGTTTTATTTTACCAGCCAGTTAGAGGCACATGGGAGCACGCAACCTTTCCAGTCTTTTGGGTCAAGCTGTTTAGGGCTTCCAGAGTCATAAGCAGCACCTTGAATTGAACCAGTGGCACTTTGGCAACCAGTGATAGCACGATGCTATCAGCTCTGAGGTTCAAGAGCCAATGATCACCTCAGTTGCCATAGGTGGGACACCATGTAGCTTCTGAAGGGTCTTCAAGGACTGTCTCACAGAGAAAACATTACAGTAATCTAACTAAGGAGAGAAGGTTCATGGGATTCTCTTCTACCCAACGATGGGGTCCATTTTGTCATTATAGTCAGTGATTGCAATGCATTAGTTGGTGGGGAGGGTGTCCTGCTGAGGGAAAGAGGATTTGCAGATGGAGGAGTGTGGATCAGGAGAAATGGACACCCCCCATCACCACCAAGCCTTTCCTCCAGTTCTGTGAGAAGAGGTCAACTCATAAGAACTGTGGTCCAAGACACCACAACAGACAGCACCAATGTACTCCAGTGACTCGTAAAGACATAGCTTCCTCTGCTGCAAACACTGCTGGTTGCTTCCAGTGTAAGAAACAGCCTGCTCAAAGGAACACCATCCTCCGAGAACTTGGGGAAAGCAGAGTGGCTTTGGGGTGTCGCCATATGCTGTGTTTCAGACATCTGACATCTCCTGATGGATTGGAGTCTTTCAGTCCCCAGGAAATGCAGCAATCCTTCGACTGCACTGCCAGAGAAATTATGGTGCTGTAGTCTAACACTGTGTCCTCAATCTCAGCAACTTTTAGATGTGTGGACTTCAACTCCCAGAATTCTGGGAGTTAAAGTCCACACATCTTAAAGTTGCTGAGATTGAGAAACACTGGTTTAACACATCTCAGAGGCCTTCCGGGCACAGCAATACACCCAATGATGATTGAGGAAGAGAGCTGGACACTCACTTCATCCAGCTGGAAGAAGGGCTCTGTCATGTCGCCAAAGCGATCCTGCAGGTAGCTGCACAGGAACCCCCGGACCTTGGCAATGTCACTCGCCCACGCTTCCTAGAGAAAACAGGCACGGGGCAGTTACAAGGAAGTTCTGCAGCAAGATCTGGGTTCGGATTGAAGGGGAGGGGCATCCACAGGGGAGGTCAAGAAAGTCAGGATGGCGTCCACAATCAAAGTCCTGTCCCTTTTATGTGCACTGCATAGGCTTTACTGCAATGAGTGCACCATTGGAAGACCTGAAAGACCAGGTTAGGATAGATCGTCATGGAGAAAATCTTATGTTTTTGCTAGGAATCAAAAACAACTTGACGGCAGATAATCAACCAATCTTTGTTTTACTCAAGCAAGGTGATTCTTACTTCGTAGCTAGATCTATTATTATATTATGATGCTGTCAACTCAACCTCCCATTCTGGTGGCAAGCATGCCTCCGTCCTGGCTCTTCTTGCATTATCAAATTTGGCAGTGCTGGGGGGGAGAGGGAAACTCTCAGTCCAGCAGAATTTCCAGACCAAACACAGATTTGAATTCAGGTGTCTTCCTCTGCAATCTCCCCCTTAAATCCTGGGAGACAACCAACTCCACTTGCTAGCGTTCCGTCAAAGGGGGTGGTGAACTTTAGCATGAGAAAGAGGTTTTTCCAGAGGGGGCAGTCCTGTGAAATCAGAAAAATGGAGCTGCCAGCCCAGGAGGGCAGTGGACCACCTGTGGAGGAATCAGGGAGGCCCTGGCAAGGCATTGAGGGTGTGGAGAGGGTCTGCCAGAGGAGGGGGAGACCGGGTGAAAGACTGGGTGCAACTGGGTGAAAGAGGCAAAGTCTGCTTCTCTAGGCAGAGTATAAAACAGCCGGACTATTAGAACTGCTGTCCACACTAGCTATAAATGTTGTGGGTGTGAAGGGGGCGGGGGTAAGGAGATGCGAAGCATTTCTATTGCAACAAGGAGGAGTTTTTCCTCCAGCAATTAAGTATTTCAGTGCAACATATTTCCTGAATAAATAAATAAACTGCTCTCTTTAAGGAGAGACATCTAAATCCCTTACAACAGATTGCTTGCACTGACACATTCCTCGCGCTGCAGACAGATTGCCTTTGCTGGAGGAACGTAAGTTGAGGCTGAGCAACTCTCTGTTACTGCAGTTCTGTGCTGCAGGAGGCTGGACTAGATGACCTCCAGAAAGATTTCCAACTTCTGTCCCACGGTGAAAAGGCTCATCTCAACATACCTCACAGTGTGGACCTCAAACTCCTGACTTTCATCTACTAACTGGTCTCTTGGGATGGAAGAGGCTAGTCCTTTCATACGCATCTACCCAGGAGAAGCTTTGCTAGCTATCTATGATGGTCTCACTCAAGCAAACCCTCCTCTTTTGATAAATACCTTTTGATCATACTGTAAGAATTTCTGGAAGTCGTATAAGGTGATCTGGCAGAGTTCCGGCCGATCCACGTTACTGAGAAGGAAGCAGAACAGATCTCTGTGCACTTGCAATATACATGCCACGCACCCACACCCACACTCAACACATTTTGTCAAGTCTGTGCATCTTCTAGGTCGCTCTTCCCTAACCTCTTCCCTAACCTAGCATCTTCTAGATGAGTTGGGACTACATCTCCCAGAATTCCCAGCTAGCACCACCTATAGGTCTGGCAGCACATCTGGGGGTCACCAGGTTGGAGAAGACCATCCTCAGATGAGAGCACCAAGCCCCAGGTGTTCATGGCACTTCTCAAAAGACCTGGTTCCTTGCTTATCAACTATGCTGGTCTATGACCGTAATAAAGATTTGATTTGCTTATCAAGAATCCCTGTCTAGTTTAGATGACTTCCAAATGGGTTCCAGCACGTGTCTGGAGGAGTGGCCTTTAAACAAATATTCACTGTAATGATGATGTGGCTATAGAAAAGCAGACTCCCTCTAACTACAGAGAAGCACCACTGGGTGGCAATGATGGCCTTCCGTCTGCTCTTGCTGATGCCTGGAGGCATCTGGCTGGCCATTGCTGGATGCGGATCTGGAGGAGCCCCTCGGTGCAAATCTTACATTCTTGTCAACTTTGCAGCTGCATTCAGACACCATCAGGAAGACCCTCACAACCCTCCTCTTTGGCCCAGAGCCCTGGGGCTCAAGAAGAGATGAGGAAGCAGAGGCCCCCTCTTACTTACCGTAAAGGGAAAGACAATTCTAGTTGTTCAATGATCTGAAAAGCAAAGGAGCCACACGTCCATCAGCAACGTTAGCAAGTCCACAAGTTTAAATCACTCAGAGGGCTGGGACTGACCGAAGCTTTAAGAAAAGGTATTTTAAGCAGAAGGGGTGTTCACTGAGAACACCCTTCAGTGATGTCAAATGGAGTTACTTTCCACAAGGGTTTTGCTTAAGCCAAAGAAGAAGGATCTAGATCAAGAAGATGATTTGCGATCCAAGTCCATCAATCAGATCTATTTTCTTAGAAATCAGCCTTCCCTTTCACCTTCAAGGAGATAATGCCAACTCTCCTGGATGTTATTATGGCAGGACCCCAGTTTAGCAGGGGGTGGGAAAACTAGATTAGCTGCAAGCACTGATGGTACACCCAGTGGGCCATGCAATTGATGTCCTCACCCTACAAGAAAATGTATTTTTAATTTGATTTTTGGGGGGTGCCTCAGATAATTTAGTCTGCCAGGTCATTGCCTAGTTCATTTGTAGGGACCAGCCACCTCCAACCGCAGTCTATTTGCAGCATTTATCTGAGGCTCAGTTCAGCCCAGTGGTGCCTTCCATGCCAAGCAGACTGTTTGACTCCAGAATGGTGGGGGCATTTCTTTCACCTCCTCCAGAATAACAGAAGGGAGGGAGGGGAAAGATATTCCATGTTCTGTCATCCCCTTTGCTAACTGGTCTTTCTGAAAGGCTCAACACACTTTGAAATGTGCAGCCAAAATTCCCCAAGAGGCTTAACTAAGAGCAAGAAAGGTTACCCAAGAACAAAAGATCAAGAAACAGCACAGGACTGGATAAAAAGTCTACTAACCAACCTCAGAGCCACTTGATAGAACTAAGACATTTCAGAGCATCTAAGGATTCTACAAAAAATCAGGAGGATTCTGGTAGAACCTTTTCCAGCTCACAAATCCGATTTAAAGGTAGGAGAAGGTGTTACCAGACTCCTCCTGATTTTTAGCTACTATAGACTAACACAACTCACCTCCTACAATGTCTATAAGGGTGGTATAAGTTCTTACCGATTTCTGCGCATCAAACATCAGGTTTTTATAGAACTGCGTAAAATGGTTGAAGGTAATTTCACCGCGGACCTCTACCTCCTGCGCGGGCAAAGAAGAGAAAGGAAGGTGTTGATGAAATTTGACTAGACTAGTTCAGTCTCTTCCAGCCTGGCGCCCACCAATATATCAAAACAGCTCCAAGAATTGGGGCCTGACCTAGCAGAACACTGCTTCTGTTCATTATTATTGTTACAGTTGTTGTTGTTGTTATAACGCCTTCATTTTGTACAACTCAAGGCCATTCAAAATCCACCCATCGATCCTGGAGAAAATCTGTGTGGTTGCTAAAAGTCAATACTGACTTGATGGCACGTAATCAACATTTTTGTGGTCGTCATTGTACTGCTTGCTTGCTTTTCCTTTTTCCTTTTCCTTCTTTTTCCTCCCACCGTTGTTTCCTTTTTGTTCTGCTTTATTAAATACGAAAATATTATCATGACATGACACCTAGTCACAAGCACTGCCTACTTACCCAACCCCCTGGGAGATGTAAGTAGCCAGAAGGTATGCCCATAGAAATGACCTCAGGGTTCGGGTTAGAGCAGGGTTCCTCAACCTTGGTGACTTGAAGACGTGTGGACTTCGACTCCCAGAATTCCCCAGCCAGCCATGCTGGCTGGGGAATTCTGGG